AGGGAGGGTGGGTAAAAAATGAGGAGCTGATGTCAGGGGCTTAGGTGGAGAGCAAATGCTTTTGAGAATGATGAGGGCAATGAATGTACAAATGTGCTTTACACAATTGATGTATGTATGGATTGTGATAAGAGGTTTTGAGTCCCTAATAAAACAATTAAAAATAATAAAAACAAAAATTTGAAGTTGTAAGTACATAGTAAAAGAAGTCCTGGTAGCATAGCGGTTAGGGATTGGGATGCTAAACATGAAGTCAGCAGTTTAAAGCCACTGTGGGAGAAAGACGAAGCCTTCTATTTTCAGAAACCCACAGGGGCAGTTCTACCCTGTCCTATAAGGTCACTATGCGTCAGGATTAACTCAATGGGAGTGCGTTTGGGGATTTTGGCTATGTACCTAGTCATACTACTGTCATATTTTAAAAGGCTGAGGGGAACAAAAAATATAAAAAATGCTGGCTTAAAATAGTTAAACAATTCAATAGCATTCAATAATTAACACAAAATATTTTATTCCAGTGTGAAACTTGTGTTAAATAGCTAAAAGTGAAGATTCATTATTTTATGGTATTAACTCACACTAAATGTTTTTGTTTTAATGTTTTTCTATTTTTCACTTCATTTTTTCTCATTGTTTTCCTAAATCTACAAAAGGTTGTTGGTTTTTTTAAAAATCATTTTATTGGAGGCTCATTAGAACTCTTAGCACAATCCACACATCTATCCATTGTGTCAAACATATTTGTTGCCATCGTCATTCTCAAAATATTTGCTTTCTACTTGAGCCCTTGGTATCAGCTCCTCATTGTTCCCCCCACCATTCCTCCCTCCCCAAACCCTTGATAATTTATAAATTATTATTCCTTTTTCAGGTCTTATAATGTCCGATGTCTCCCTTCACCCACTTTTCTGTTGTCCATCCCCCAGGAAGGGGGTTATATGTAGATCGATGTGATTGGTTCCCCTTTTCTCTCCCCACCTTCTCCTTACCCTCCAGTATCGCTACTCTCATTATTGGTCATGAGGGGTTTATCTGTCCTGGATTCCCTGTGTTTCCAGTTCTTAACAATACTGGGTGTTAAAAAAAAAAAAAGTCCATATCATATATCTGATTTGGAACAAAACGCTCATGGAAGGATTAATCAAATTCATATTTGACATTTATATTTTAAAAACTATACATATCTATTACATATTTTCTTCCCCCATTTTATTGAGAGCTCTACAAATATTATTTAATTTCCTTTATAAATGCGAGTATAAATACATAATTTTATTCAATACTATACGAACAGACACTGAACACAAAATTTGTGAAAACGTTAGGAACATCCAATTTAAAACAAACCTAGGTTAGGATCATTTCCAGCAAATTTCAAAGCTCACAACTTCTTTGCATGTCTGTTTGTTGTCGGGTGCTACTGAGTCAAACCCACAGCAACCTTATGTGCAACAGAATGAAACACTGCCCCGGCTCACCCCATTCTCACGATTGCTCCGGTGCTTCAGCCATCCATCTCCTCAAAAGCCTGCCTCTTTTTCTCCGCCCCCCTGTTGTACCAAGTATGCTGTCCTTCTCTAGGGACCAGTCTTTCCTGACAATTTGCCTGAAGTATGTAAGACAGAGTCTCACCATCCTTGCCTCTCAGGAGCACTCTGGCCATACTTCTTCCAAAACAGATGTTTGTCCTTTGAACAGTCCACGGTATTGTCAACACTCTTCTCCAGCACCACAATTCAGATGCATTGATTCTACTTTGGTTTTCCTTATTCTATGTCCCACTTTCACATGCATGTGAGGCCATCGAAAATAGCATGGCTTGGGTTAGACGCCCCTTAACCCTTTAAGCAGTGGTTCTCAACCTTCCTCATGCCGCGACCCTTTAATACAGTTCCTCATGTGGTGGTGACCCCACATGAGGTCACCACCACATATAATAATATTATTTTCGTTGCTACATCATGACTGTAATTTTGCTATGTTATGAAGCAGGCGACCCCTGTGAAAGGGTCATTTGACCTGCAAAGGGGTGGCAATCCACAGGTTGAGAACCGCTGCTTTAAAGTAATCACCCTGTTTTCTCACACTTTAACGAGGTCTCGTGAAGCTGATTTACCCAATGCAATGCACTGTTTGATCTCAAGACTGCTGTTTCCATGAATGTTGATTGTGGATCCAAGCAAGATAAACTGCTTATCAAATTCAATTCTTTCTCCATTTAATAATCAACACTGTGTTGCTTAATCACAGGTGGTTCATAAGCTTTCCTCTAATCCTGATGCCACATGCTTCTTCATATATAAGCCAGGTTCTCTGAGGATTTCCTCAGAGACTGAATAAGTATGGTGAGAGAATCAACCCTGATGCAGACCTTCCTGATTTTAAACCATGTACTTTTTGCTCTGCCGATGTACTGCTACAACCGCTGCTGGATGATCTTCAGCAACATTCTGCTTGCATGTGACTTCAATGAAACTGTTCTAGAGTTGGAGCGTCTGCTGGTCGTCTTTCCTTGGAATGGGCACAAATATGGATCTCTTCCAGTCAGTTGGCCCAGTAACTGTGTTCCGAATTTTCTGGCATAGACGAGTGAATGCTTCCAGGGATTCATCAGCTTACTGAAACATTTCAGTAAGTGTTCCATCAATTCCTGGAAGCGTTTATTTATTTATTTTTTTGGCTGGTGCTTTCAGTGCTGCTTCAGTGGCTCCCTTCAGCACCACTCTTTGCTGCTCACATTGGCCTCTCCTGCAATGGTAGAATGTCGACTGGTTCTTTTGCTAGAGTGACTCCATGTGTCCTTTCCCTCTTCTCTTGATGCTTCCGGAATCATTCAATATGTTGCCCATATACATGTTGATAGCTACAATCAGTCATGGAAAATGTTTC